AAATACTCCCCTTGATATGCACTGTAATTATAGTCTCATAATTGTTGCTTGCCAGTGAAACAAGTCATCACCAACAGGTCTGGCAGGACAGTGGGATGGTGGGTCTCACTGAAGATCACTTAGTTCTTTCTATATCCTCTTCAGCACCATGGGAGCGTGGGGCACAGCAGTAGCACTAGGGAGTGTGGTCAGGTAACGGCACCTGCACATGTGGCAGGGGTGAGTGTATAGAGTATAGTGATGTACTACCATATTGTAACAGTTGAGGTAAAAGAAACTCAACCCAACACTGAAAACAGTTAATTCAGAGTCAGATTCAAGAAAAGTTGCAAGTTCCAGCATGAAGAAGTTCCAGCAAGACCATTTCATGCCAGAAGACTGTTTTTGAAATTTTCCTGAAGCAGATCAGGGAGTCTGCTGTCCACTAGGGAAGTTCATTCACTGCTCACATTATGAGACTGTCTCCATGTGCTGGTAACAGAGCTGGTCTTCACAGGTCATACCTTGTTTTCCGAAGACGCACTCCTCTTGCAGGAGGCCTGTCTCAGGGTACCTTATTTTCCGACTTGATAATGATGATCTCCTGTCAGTTTTCCTCAGTACTCGTTCTCCAGGCAGTCCAAACGCAACTCTTGTTCTTGGTGTAGCTCTGCACGTATGTGCACACATGTCAGCTCCAAGGATGACCTGGTTCTTAATCCTCTTCTCCTCATCCATGATTTTATGTTGCAATCCATATTTTCAGACTAAAGTTTCTGGTCTTGCATGTTTTTACCTCTGTTTTTCTCAGCAGAATGACCACCTGAGGTATTTTCCCACATTGGTCTCCTCTTTTTGTCATCTCCTTGTTTTCCTCTTCCCTTGAGCCTGCCCTCTTTGTGGAATGGTAAACGACATTTAAGGAGTATGGGAGAAGGCACAGACTTCTTTGCCAAAGAAGAATGTCTTTGAGCCAGGGCCCTGGTGTGAGATTCTCTGCTGCAAACTTAACTTGACTTCTCCAAAACTTTGCTTCTAATCCTCTGCTCTCACAGGAAGGGCTGACCTGTTTATACTAAAGCCAAAAATACGACACTGATTTCTCATTCTCAAAAGCTAGTTAGCTTGGGTTCTGGTAGGAGACCTGCCAGCAGACACATCTTCAGCTACAGCACAGGCATATCTGCTGACTGGTAAGCCATCTGCTTGGAGGGGAGCATGTAAGCTTTGCTTATTTGCCTTTCCTTCACTTAATTAGAGTTCTCCCAGCGTTTTCCTAAGGTTTTATGAAAATCATCTGGTAGGCCATCTAAACGATTTAATGTAGTAAAATAGTAAACAAAAAATCTAGACTTAGAAGGCCAAATTCCAATTTGATTTATTTTATATTTCATAGAATTTCATTGGTGACAATGGTTTTGTACAGGTTATAAGTGCAGAAGAATGTAACCCAGAGACAGGCTTTGTGTTCCTTTTTGGCAAGTGCTGTGTCCCATCTGTTTGTTACTATTAGAATATTTTTTATTGGCAGATGAAAAACAAAATGTATAAAAGGATACAGTAAACTATCCCATACTACTCTCAGTACAACCAAACACACAGTCATTACTCTCATAATGATGCAGCCTCTTACTTTGGCCAACTGTCAGAAGTCTTCAACGCAATACATTTAGTGACTAAATGGTGTACTAGTGGCATGGGAAATGGCAAAGTCTTTAAAACAGGCAAGTAACAATCTCATGCCTTTACATTTGACTTAGAAATCAGCATCTCATGATAGAAAATTCCTACTTTGTGGCTCCTATTGTTAGGTAAGGACAAAAATAAATAAATAAATAAATCTTTAAGACCCATTCCAACCAAACCATTCTACAATTCTATGTTTCTATGTATCTGCAGGTTGTGCATCTGTTTTGTCTTCCAATCAAGTTGAGGTGAAATTGAATCAAACTAGAGCATTTTAAAATGACCTGTATTTGTAGTATCTCCTCTGCGAGCCCTGTAAACTGAAGAAAAGTTTAGGAGAGGTTCTAAGCAGGCTGAAAGGGAGCTATTTACTATGAGCATTTAGAAGATTATGGATGTAGTTATTTCATAAACCAAACTACCCAGCTGCAATTGCAAATTTTTATTTGCAATATTGGAAAATGTATTAAAGTCTGGCTAAAAGCTAACTTCCAGCTTGAGTAACCATGCTTTGAAAATTGTTTCTAAATTCCTCATCTGTAGAGCTTTAAGAGGCTCTTTAAGGGGGATGGGAACCTGGATTTGAAGTACACAGCACATACTGTCTCCTGTATATAACACAGTTGTTTCATGGTGTATGCAGGGTTAGTTCTGCTCATGGAAAGGAAATGTTCTGCAGAAGGACACCCCATCCCCGATCTAAATCCAGGGAAGATGCACCTTTGTACTTCCACCTAGTGACATGCCTGCCAGTCCTTGTCATGGAGACAGTGTAAGGCCCTCTACTCCACTGTCAAATACATATGCTGGGTGTTCACCGCTCCCTGCTCACTCAAGGGAAAGGTGCAGCAATAGACACAACTGAATCCCTCAATGTGGTGTTCCGTGTGTAGAAGGTAAAATACACCTGTTGCAATTGAAGCAGCCAGTCAGCCCTATGTCAAGTATCTTCAGTGATGCTGTGCTCCAGCATGCTGTTGAAGTATGGCTCCACTCAGTTACCAGAACATTACTTTGGCTGTGCCTCATGCCATTGACAATACTAGCTTATGAATTTACTGCACATAAATTATGCTGTGGTAGTCCTAGAGGGGCTGCATGCCACTTGCTTCCCACACAGTAACATTTCATGTAGTCAAGCCTTAGTGTTGCCTTAAATGATTTCAGTGCATCTAAGTACATTTTGCAATCCTTCCAGTCATTGCAGCCTACACTTTATTCACTGTCAGGCGTCCTGATAGCAAAGGTTCTGCAGAGCAGGTATTTGAGCAACCTGGTCTAGTGGAAGGTGTCCCTGCCTGTGCCAGGGGGGTTGGAACTGGTTAAGCTTTAAGGCCCTATCCAACCCAAACCAGCCTGTGGTTCTTGAGATCAGTTATTGCTACATCACCTCCCTGTTATAAAAGACCTGTAGTTCTGTCTACTTCAATTACATATTAAAAAAAACTCTTTCCTGTGACGCTGGTGAGGCCCTGGCTCAGGGTGCCCAGGGAAGCTGTGGCTGCCCCATCCCTGGGACTGTTCAAGGCCAGATTGGAAGGGGCTTGGAGCAACCTGCTTTAGTGGAAGGTGTCCCTGCCTGTGGTAGGGGAGTTGGAACTGGATGACCTTTAAGGTCCCTTCCAATTCAAACTATTTTGTGATTCTATTACTGTCCATCATATATGTCTCCATCATATTTGAAAAAGCATGGCAGTCAGGTGAAGTTCCCGAAGACTGGAAAAAGGGAAATATAACCCCCATTTTCAAGAAGGGGAAAATGGATGACCCAGGGACCAGTCAGTCTCACCTCTGTGCCTGGCAAAATCTTGGAGCAGATTCTCCTGGAAGGCATGCTAAGGCACATGAAAAACAACAAGGTGCTTGGTGACAGCCAGCATGGCTTCACTAAGGGGAAATCCTGCCTTACCAGGTTGGTGGCCTTCTATGATGGGGCTACGGAACTGATGGACAGGGGTAGAGCACTTGATGTCATCTATCTGGACATGCGTAAAGCCTTCGACACTGCCCCACACAATATCCTTGTCTCTAAATTGGAGAGACATCAATTTGATGGATGGACCACTCAGTGGATAGAGAACTGGCTGGAGGGCAGCACAAAAGAGCTGTGGTCAATGGCTCAACGATATCCAGCTGGAGACCAGTAACGAGTGGTGTCCCTCAGGGATCGGTGTTGGGACCGGTCTTGTTGAACATCTTTGTCGCTGACATGGACAGTGGGATTGAGTGCGTCCTCAGCAAGTTTGCTGATGACACCAAGCTGTGTGGTTTGGTTGATACGCTGGAGGGGAGGAATGCCATCCAGAGGGACCTCGACACACTTGTGAGGTGGGCTGATGCCAACCTCATGAGGTTTAACCATGCCAAGTGCAAGGTCCTACACCTGGGTGAGAGCAATCCCAGGCACAGCTACAGGTTGGGCAGAGAAGGTATTCAGAGCAGCCCTGTGGAAAAGGACTTGGGGGTGTTGGTAGATGAGAAAATGAACATGAGCTGGCTTCAGTGTGCGCTCGCAGCCCAGAAAGCCAACTGTATCCTGGGCTGCATCAAAAGGAGCGTGACCAGCAGGTCGAAGGAGGTGATCCTGCCCCTCCACTCTGCTCTCGTGAGACCTCACTTGGAGGATTGTGTGCAGTTCTGGTGTCCTCAACATAAAAAGAATATGGAACTATTGGAACAAGTGCAGAGAAGGGCCACGAGGATGATCAGGGGACTGGAGCACCTCCTGTATGAAGACAGGCTGAGAAAGCTGGGGCTGTTCAGCCTGGAGAAGCGGCTGGGTGGAGACCTCATAGCAGCCTTCCAGTATCTGAAGGGGGCCTATAGGGATGGTGGGGAGGGACTCTTCATTAGGGACTGTAGTGACAGGACAGGAGGTAATGGGTTCAAACTTAAACAGGGGAAGTTTAGATTGGGTATATGGAAAAAGTTCATTACTGTGAGGGTGGTGAGGCACTGGAATGGGTTGCCCAGGGGAGCTGTGAATGCTCCATCTCTGGCGGTGTTCAAGGCCAGGTTGGACAGAGCCTTGGGTGACATGGTTTAGTATGAGTGCCTGCCCATGGCAGGGGGGTTGGAACTTGATGATCTTAAGGTCCTTTCCAACCCTAACTATTCTAAGATTCTATGACTGTAGGCCGATCAAACCTCCTTACGGAGGGAGGCTGGATGCGATGTTCTGCGCTCGAGGCGTGGGCCTGTGCTCTGAACAAGTTCATGACGGAGGATACCCGTGCCCGGAGGTGGCACTCGGCATACTGTGGCCGCCACTCGCCCGGCGCGGCGGCGGAGGGAGACGTCGGGGCCGCCGGGCAGGGGGTGGGGAGCGCCCGCCTCTCGCGGCTCGCAGCCGGGTGCCTCCCGCGGGTGCGGCGGGCCGCCGGACGGGCTGGCGGGCGTGCTGGCTGGCTACCCAGAGTGCAGCAGGCAGGAGGCAGCACACGGCGGCCAGCACCGAGCTGCCGGCGCTCTCCCGGCCCGCCGGCGCAGCGGGATCCGGGCCCAGGCTGCGGCGCGGCCCAGAATGCGAGTGTGAGATGCTTCCCCCGGCAGCGGCGACCCGGGCCCAGGCGGCGGTGGCCCCCGCGTGGATGCGGCTCTGTAGCCGGCGCTTCGCCCTCCACAAACATTTCTATAGGACTCATTCGCCCTGCTGAGGAGATTGGCCCGGCCCGGCCGCCTGCTGCCTCTAGCCTTCTCCTCCGCGCTGCGAAGCGGCTCCCTCAGAGACTGCGGGCCCGGCCCGGCTTGTGGGGTATGGAAGCCCCCGGCGGCGCGTCGCCGCTTAGCCCCGCGCTGGTGGGCCGCCTCCGCCAGAAGCATGACCAGGTAAAGGCCAAGGCCGCCGGGCCGGACCGCAGCGGGAGGAGGGGTAGAGGCTGCGGCCCGAGACGGGCGGGGGGGGGGCGGGGGGAGCTAAAGCGGCTCTCCGGATTTGGGGGGGGGGGGGGGGGGGGGAAGGGAGGGGGGGCGGCGGCCCCTGGGCGGCAATCGCCGGGGCCTGTGTACGGCGGACCGGCACGTGACGGCGCTGACGTCAGGGCTGGCTGCTGAGGCGGGTCGTGGCCGGGCGAGAAGACCCGGGAAACCAGCCCCGGTAACGCAAGGAGCCGGGCTGGTGACCCCCCTGCCAGCCCGCCCAGAGACCGCCTTCTTGGGGAGAAGGGGCGCTGGGAGGACCCTGACGCAGCCCGTTAGCTGTTGGCAGCTGTGGCGGTGACGAAGTGCCGTTTAAAGCGATGCACGCCAGAGGGGTGACTTGGGGCTGGCGGGAGCGGGGCCTGCGCTGTGCCCGCTGCCTCGGTGCTCGCCCTGAAACTCCGTGGGGAGCGTTGCAGTCGGCACTCTACCATACGTGTGTTTTCACCCTCCTTCCCCCTATCCATGTTTTCTCCAGCCACAGGGCTGGTCACCTACTGTTGTAAAATGCGGGCTTGCCAGTAAGGCCCTGTGCAGGGCCTGGCCAGTGCCGTTGAACTGGGTCATCTCCTGCCTGACTTGAGGTAAACAAAAAATTCATGCCTTGTTTTAAAAAACACTGATTATATTTGAAACAGGTTGGAAAGAGCCAAGCAGAAATGACACCTGGGAGTTTGGAGGCAGGTTCCACATATGGCTGTAGTTCGAAACTTGGGATACATTTCTTGCAGGTTACGCTTGTGATCTGAGGCGAGTGGGCCCTGCTAATATAACAAGTGGGATCTTGGGCTTGTAGGTTCCAGCCTTGCAGCGAGGACTGTGTGGGTGCAGGAGGAGCTCACGGGGACATTCAGTGCATCAGTGGCACAAGTATATCTGCACAGGCACCGTGCTTTTCCATTTTCTGCTCATTTTTCTCACATGGTTAAAATTTCTTAGAGCTGCTTCTAAGATGCACGTTAGGGCTCGTTGGTTATAACCAAGGACTTCAGTGTGTATTGCTTTGTCACATGCAGGTTTAGTTAGGGTAAGGAAACTGGGTAACACATACATGATGTAAAATGTGCCTTGCCAGGAATAGAGTGTGTAGGACTGTGTTTACTTTTGAACAGCTCACTGTCATTATGAAGTGATGTACATAACCAGCTGTCCCTTAATATGGATGAACAGTAAGAGGATCTGGTGGAATACTCTGTGTTGCCTGTTCTGCGCAGATAGTAAACTGTTATTCCAGTAATTGGTGATAGTAACTCCTGCTTGGGCTCCTGCAGTTAACTTTCAGGGTGGTAGAATTTGGTGACAAATATTTTCTCTGGTACATTAGTGTCAGTCAGGCCTAATGTGTTGATTGTAACCACACAGGATTATTCCCAGTTCATGGTAAGGCCCCTTGGTAAACCAGTTTAAGAGTCTCTTCTTAAACAGATCTGCTCCAGTAGAAAAGAGGCCCAGGAGACCATTAATTAAGCCTCTGTTAGGCTGATGTACCAGAATTATATTTTATCATAGGGAAACTTTACATAATATCTGCAAATTTGCTAAAAAAAATGGAACGCTTCAGCTTCAATATGAAATTATACTAAAGAACTGCGTATCTTTGTTACAAGGGAGTGTCATGATAAAGATATAGTAGACTTTCCCTGTATGCAATGAATATATATAATTGGATTACAGCAGTATTTTCAGTTAGGAAAATATTGCATTTTAAGATGGAGGAGGTCTTTTAATTTCAGCTGCCTCTTTTCAAAGACTTATTTTTCTCACAGAATGACTGAAGTTGAATGCTTATGTTTTGGTCTTAGCACGAAGATGAGGGAGAATCAGTTATGCTGTATTTGGTAGACCAGTAATGGTAGTATGAGCATCATAACATAGGTTATTTAGGCAGAACTGTATCTCTATATAACAGCATTTAAACAGGCATATGTATTTTTGTTAATTACTGTGATGTTATGCTGTCCCAGTGATGCTTGATTAAGTATAGAGAATAAGAATTTATTCCATTAATCTGAAGGCAGCCTTGACTGTAACAGTGAAATACAGCATTACCTATCTGCAGAATTAATATTTGAATCATGGTTGATTATTTTAACGTCCAGGCCACTGTACAACCCTGGTTCTGCTATGAGTTTGAGCTTTTGAGTGCTAAAGAGCTGCTCTGGAAAGCACGTGAGCTGAGGCTTCCTTCCTGTTTGAGAGTATTAAAAGAGCAGGATGTTCATGAGTTTCTATCTTTAATCTGATTGAGACTGCAACTTCAGGTTTAGGACCCCTGGTGAAAAGTAATTTTAATTCTTGTTTAGGACTGCTTGCTGGTTGGACGGCTTTCATGTTGTTAATCTGTAGCAATGGCAAGACCAAACTGTTAGAAGCCATTTTCAGTGCTCCCACAAAAGGCACTTTGTATAAAAACATGACTTAGAATGTGTATCTTGGGGATAAATTATAGAGAATATCTAGTAATTTTCATGATAAAGATCATCACTGGAAGCACAGTGCCTGTGTGAAGTTTTCAATATTCCTGTAAGAAGAATATAATGTATGCATCATGGATTACTTGCAAAAGCAATATATGCTAGCTGGAAATACTGTTTTAAATCTATTGCAAGTTAGTACAGGAATTATAAAATGAATATTTAAATAGGTGCCTTCTCATGCTGTAGAGTGTGCGTTTAAACATAATATTTGATATACATCTATGTCTGCAATCAGATGGGTTGGGATTACTAACTGATGGGAAGTTGATAAGTCAGATATGTATGATTTGGTACGACTTGTGCAGACAGTGAATTTACAGTGGGTTGATAAATTCTATAGTTTCTGAGAAATGCAAGGAAGGTACGTGTAATGGGAGACATTACAGAACCAACTAGACCCAAGAGACGTTTGTGGAGTGCAAACATGGGCATGGAGAATGTAAAGGATTCCAGCATTTGTTGGCAATACTTTTTTTTTTTTAATTAGTATTATTATTTTTTAATTGCACTGACAAACACATTTGTTTATTTTCTTTTTAGGAAAGACTTTCCTTAAGCTTGTGTCACTCATCATGACAACAAAGCACAATTAGATTTAGTGCTGCTATTGCAGTAACTCATTAACCACTGTATGTTGTGTTATATTTTTCTGAATTTTAATGGTTGAACTGGACGATCTTTAATTTCAAAATTGTTTTCAAGATTTTGGGTACTTGCAGTTTTTTAATGGTCAAACAACTTACAGGTGGGTTATGGAGAAACAAGTCACAGAACCCTAATCTTACGTTCTTTTAAATTATTGTATGCTTACATGAATTACTTCTGGAGGTAGTTGCTTCTGTTCAAGGCTTTTTCAAGTAGCATGTGTGCTGTGAAATCAGCAGCTTGGCAGTTTTAAAACTGTTCCTTCAGTCTGGAAAAGATCAGTGAGACTGAGTAGGGTCTTGTAGACTTCATGCTGCTGCAGGAGTCCCTGGAAATCTGTAAGTGCTTGCCTGCAGACTTGGCAGGTGAGGTTCAATGAGCTTTCTAGTGCTGCGTCTCCCAGGGTGTTGCACTTTTTCCAGCCTCCACCCATGCTAACAGGCTTTAGAGAAAGCCTGGGTATGAGACAGCAGTGCAGTCAGACTTCAGTTTTCACAGTAGCTGCTTGAGAAAAGTTAACAGAGTGTCTGAAGCTTGGTTTGACATGTCTTTTTTGAAAATGCCTGTCTGAAGCTTCATTTCCCATATTCCTTTTTCAAAGGTACCTGAACAGTTACATCTTCAGAAACTTGCGGTGACATCCACTCCAGCCCATCCAGTGCTTTTTTTGTAATAGTAGGTTCCAGTAATGTTTTCTCACACACTGCTTTCAAGTAAATAGGCTAATTCAGTCATTATTTAGAAGCTTTCAATGTAATACTGTTTTGACAGTGTTAATTGATCATCACTTCTACTTTTTATAGTCAGTATTTGTCTATGTTCTTATTACCATGAATTAAATACCCACCGGTTTATATAGTGTGAAGAATTGTGCAATTAATTATCAGATCTTAAATATTTTTTTTTTAATGGTAATTAAAGTCACAAATTCACAAAAGAGTTTATAAAGAGTTTTGCCTTTATTCTGGAGCGGGCAAGTGTATGTGTTCTGCCTCACTGGTAACTAAACTGCTAGCTTGGAGCTTGCTATCTTGAGGCCCTCAGAGCAGCAATTGAACTGGGACTTTGTTTTCACCAGGCTGCACTGTGCAGTTGCTGGTTTTATGGTTTCTCTTGTCTGTTTGCATAGGCTGCCACTTCACTGTCACAAAAAGAGTGAACCCCTCAACCACTTTTGTACCAGCGCTTGTGATCAGCTTGCTGAGGGTAAGAGGCATCCAGTAATGCACACAAAATGGTCATATCAGATGCGAGCATAAATGTGGCGGGGAGATACAGGGCTAGCAGTGGGTGAAACTGGGCTGGCCCTTTGAGCCGTGGCCGCACTTGTACCAAGTTAGAGCAGTTGTGAGCAGCCTCAGTCCCTTGTTCAGAAATTCCATTAATGACCACTTGAGTTGTCCAGGAAGGAGATTACTTCAGTTTGGTGAACAACTTCTTATTTTTTTTTGTGCCCACTTGTTTTCACCTTTTAGCAATTTTAGGGTGGCACATTTGACGGTGCTCAGTGACCTGCATTGGGATCCAGCTTAAACCCAAACTTTGTTGTGAACTTTTTTTTTGCCTTTTTTTCCTACTGGATTGTTGTTCAGCCAGCCATGTTCAGCCATGGTTCTCTAATCTGGTTGATTGTGCAACGTCACAAATGTCTGCCAGCAGATTTGTCGGGGTTGGAAAGGTAAGACAGTGGAGCTGAGTAGCTGAAGACAGGAAGGGGTGAGTTTACTCAGGATTTCAGCTGAATGTTGAACCACAGCCTGAAGGCACCTGTCTGTGAGGCAGATGCCA